AAATGTGTTAATTTAAGATGTACCAGGTAGTTAATAAGAAGCCTGAGCTAATAGAACAAACAGTATTATAGTTGATATACTTTCTGTATGATTATTCTGTATGATTCAGGTCTGGGAACCTGGGAACCAAACAAGCAGTCTCCATTTACATAATGACACCCAATGCTTGGCAACATACTTCACATGAAGCCTAAGAAAGCTTTCAAAAAAAGTGCTTCCAGTGTCAAAAACAGTAGTCAGTTGGAGCTTCTTGGCAGCCACATATTTTTAGATAGACTCTGTTTGCTGGTGGTGAGTAAAGTAGCAGCTCCTTTTTAGAGAAAGCTTCCTGACTCAGCATTAGCAGCAATAACTGCATGGCTTCTTTAAGAGAAGGCTTCCTGATTCATGTTGGCAGCACAAACTCTCGTTCTTATTGGAGCAGCGAGGTACTAGTTGCTTAATGGTGGCATAGACCCACTACATCACTGGAGCTGGGGCAGTGAACATGGCATGCTGAGGTTGTGAACATACCTCTGCCATGTTGGACAGGGGTAGAACCTAGCCTGCTTGATGGTATTCTGTATGAAATGGACACGCAGTATCCACAGAAAAGTTCCTGCTGAATTTTCCAAAAGACAGAATGGTCCTTCAGGGTTCCTGCTTCACAGAAGAAAGTGTCAGACATTCTGCAGGACACAGAAGGAAGCAACTAATGAACTTTGCTAGAACAAGGCAAAAAGGCAGAGCAAATCTTTAAATTTCCTGCTTCCCTACTAAGTCTGCAGATACCATGTGCCTATAGGCTAAAGATTGATTCCCCCATGTTACAGAACAACTTTGTGTGACTGTCCAGGTAGCAAGATGTCTGTGTCAGTTCTACAGTTTTGGAAGTTGCTTAGCATTGGACTCCCTATTTACTAGGTAATATTATATCCCTCCGGAGTCTTCGATGGGGTTGAAAAAAGATAGTTACAGTTTTTCTTAGTTATGATAAAAGATAAATTAGATATGAAACTTTAGACCCATAAAGATAGGATAGATGATAAAGTATTACCCCTAATTTGCCAAATATAAATGTACTAAATATTGTAACTATAATTCTTGCTTGATAGCTATTTTGTTATATGCAATTTTACTATGTTAAAGTCCAAACCTTCTTTTAAATTAGACAGAAAAGGGGAGATAATGTGGGATGCTCTTCTGTATATGTGTTATTTTATTGGTTGATGAATAAATTTGTTTTGGCCAATGGCTTAGTAGAGTACAGGCAAGTTGGAAACTGAACAGACATATATAGAGAATAGGCAGAGTCAGGAAAATGTCATGTAGCTGCCAAAGGAGAAAGACACCACCAGAACCTTCCTAATAGGTCACAGCCTATTTTTGATACATAGTCTAATAGAAATGGGTTAATTTAATATGTAAGAGTTAGTTAATAAGAAGCTGAGATAATAGGCCAAACAGTATTATAATTAATATAGATTTAGTGTGATTATTCAGGTTTGGGGGCTGGGAAATAAATAAACAGTCTCTGTTTACATCATAGTGATAACTCTTGTCAATTAAAGTAGATGATAACGACCTTACTTAGCTATTCTGGAAATAAATAAGAGACAGATGTGAAAATGTTAGGAAAGACAGAATTTTTGAGTATTAACTCCAAGTCTGTCAGTTAGAAGTCTACTTCATATTTATTTATTTTGTTGGCTCTACAAAAATAAAATATTGGAACTAGAGATTTCAAAAATGAAAGTAATTAATAATTTTATACCTCTCCCCAATCCATGCTACCCTATATCATATATAAACAAAATCAGCTGTTTGGTATCTTCTTTTTATTTTTACATTAATTTATGGATTAGAATTTGACTTTTGGAAGTCAAGTTTATTTCTAAGGTACTCAACATCTAATTTCTAGCAGTTGACATTTACCTAGCTGTTTGCTTGCTAATTTTGACAGTCTCAATAAATACAGGAAAAGGTCAGAAATATGTTTCACATAGTAAACAATCTTAATTATCTTTATCATAATGAATTTTGGTTTAGAAGTTCATACATGGAGAAAGCAGAGGTATATTAATTCTCAAGTCATCAAGATAAGAAGAAAATATCAACAGTATCTGTGCATTTCCATTTGCACATAGATTTTAGAGTTAGCATGAATTATTTTAGTTTTGCAACTTATTTGAAGTGTACTGAAATTAATTTATAGTGCTTCCGTGTTTGAAAGAAAGCAAGGCAGACTTCTAGTGAATGGTAATGTAGGAACGAATAAATGGGGTTGGGAAAGAGCATTTTTGTTTGTCTTAATTTATGGGAACCGGGGCATTATCTATATTTCTTTCCATTCCTTTGTTTTGTTTTTTCATTTTGTTGGTTTTGTTCAGAAATTTCTCTTCAAAGAGTTGAGATTGTACATTATTTCTTATTTTTTTTCCAGATTACTTTTCTGATACGAAATAACATCAGTAAAAGAGAGTAGAAGACGAGACAAGTTTATGATAACATAAATGGATAAGACATAGTTGAGTATGAACTTAACACGAGACACCAGTAAAGAATTTCTGCACAAAGAGGGCAAGGATAGCTTCTATCTGAATAATCTAGTGGGAAGATACTATCTAATATGTAACAGGGAAGGAGAAGAAATCAGTAAAAATTTAATACCTCATGCGATAGAACTGAATAAAACTTTTCAATGCTACTAAAGAACACAGAGGTCTCAGATATTAAGTTCTAGTGTCAAATAAATCCAACACTCCCTGTGTTTATTTATAAATTTTGCATAAGTACATTTAAAATGCCAGTGTAATATTCTTGTACTTGAAACATGGTTGAGTACATTGTGAAAATAAAAAAAAAATCAACGAAATGTCTTGTAAAATGTAGTGGGTATATATGCCATTTTAATATACCAAATATTAAAAGCATTCTAAAGGTGTGAAGAGATAATAGAGTACCATAATATAAATACAGAGTTAAGATAGCAAGAAAATGATATAGAAAAGCCAGCAATACATCTAACATACAAACCATAATTTGGTTCACACACAATCAATAATAGATCCCGCTCTATAAGAGTGGGTGAAAGTTCTGTGATAAATGTTATGGAATAATTTTTAACCATCTAAATAAAAATCATTTGTTTCGGTATTTTCAAGAACTAAAAGTCCTGCAATGCTAGATCGCTCCAAAGTTTAAAACTGAAACATAAATGTGTATATAAAAATGATAGAAACTATTTTAAAAAATATTTATTATATAAAATGACATGAGAGTCTGTAGAGGTTTGATTAAGAATGTGCCCTATGGAGCCAGATGTTGGTGATGACAGATGAATAGATTTAGGAGGCATGGTTGGAGGAAGAACATCACTGGGGGTGGACTTTGGGGGTTACAAAGTCGAGTGCCATTTCAATTCCAGTTTACTATCTCTTCTTCCTGTTTGTGGTATGCAAATGGAGCTCTCAACTCTTTCTGTTGCCATGTCTCCCTCATGCTGCCACCATTCCCTGCCATAATTGACTTGTATCCCTCTGGATCTATATGCTCAAATACACTCTTACTTCTGTAAGGAGTTTTATCACAACAATAGAAACGTATCTCCCTCACAGCCCTTTAAAGAATGATCAGAGAGCACATCATTAAATATTAACTCATAAGATCAACTACATATGTTTGATCTTTTTTGGCATTTTAAACATACGAATAGAAAAATAATATTGTCTCTGCTGAGCACATTTTCGATTCAGTTCATAACATATTAATTTCCACATATGTGAATTATATTCTCAAAATTAAAAACACATTTGCCACCATTTGAGCCAATATTTCTACATCTTGCCTCACAGAAAATTTTGGAAGGATATTATAATAACAGAGTAAATAATTGGAAGCCATTCAAATCCTCATCAGGCAGTCATGTGACTGATCATGGAATTAATGTGCTATCAGAATACTCTAATATAGTGAGACAGAAGGAAAGATCTCCATATGAACAATGTGGGACCCTTTCCAAAATAGTCACATCTCTGAGTTAGAAGAGTGTATGTATGAAGGCAAAGTAACAGATCACTTAACTGTTCTGGATATGTTATGCTACATATGTCAGAATATGTAACTAAATACGCACTTATTTATTCATACTTTATTTCTAGAGAAATTCATAAATTATAGTTTACATCTTCAGTGTCAGAATGAATTCATGTGGGCAGCAGGCCCACAGTAATAGAAGTAAGATTTCATAGTGTTCATTTTCAAAAAAATATTTGAGCTTTGTACAATGTATCCACTTTACCAAAAATCAAATATCCAATTATATTACACAGTGTGGCATCTACTTAGCCCCATATAATAGCTTCTTCTATGTCTGATTCAGAAAAACAACATACAGCTTACTTGAAATGCAAAGAAAGTCTGTGATTTTCAGACATAAATCTACTGATAATAGCACTAAAATTTCCAGTTCTTCATTTCAACAGTTATTAAAAGCACAAATTCAGCTTGATTGAGAAAATATCGCCCCTTTCCTCTAATCATTATAACACATAGGAAAAGAGAATAGTGTAAACTTATTTCTATTGCAATCTTTTTATGAAATTTTTGGTGATGGTTATAAAATGAGGTAGTGGATCTTACGACTTCAGTGATCAGCTATTTAAAACAGTCCATCTAGAATGCTTATTTTGCAGAAGACAATGACAAAATAAATTATAGTAGAAAGAACCAACAAGGTCTTGAACAATCTTACATGAGATAGCTCCACTTTACAAAGAAAGAAGCCATGCATAAAATCAGCACACAAGTTGGGGCATACTTCCATAACAAATTGGAACAAGTACATAGGCACCTATTAAAAAGTTTACTTTGATATTATGTTCCACACATTTGTTTTTGCCAAGAAATACTAACCAACCCCCCAAAAATGAATGTGCTCATTTATCTTAGCAATTATATAATTCTGAATACCATGCAATTTGTTTGAAACATAGCTATTTAAATAAAGAAAATACTACAGACAGGATACAATAATCTTTTATTTTTCTGGATCAGTTATAACTTGAAGAAATAAAACTTTGTGTTTATCACATGAAGTTTACCAAACCAGTAAGACAATATGAAAAGAAGCAGTTCAATGTTATTTCAAAAGCTATATCAGGGTGAAACTGTATTCCTTTGTCACTAGAAAAATATGTTTTAAATATAACAATAACTCTACTCTAAAAATTATAAAATGCAGCCACAGAAATATATTTTGTCATATACAGTTTAAATAAATACAAAAATAAAAATTTAAAGGGTTAGGAAGGTTTTTTATAATATTACAGCATCATAATTTGCAATTAAAAACAAAAATGATGCAGAGATTTAATTTATTCATTTAAAAGTTCTGGAGTATCTACTACTTCAAACTCAATGCTATGAAATTTTACTCTTCTATATGCACAATGTTTAGATGTGCATGAATTAATTTAACTTGTAAGAACTACTTAGCAATATGCCTGAGCTATTGGATGAGTATTTGTAAGTAATACAATCTTCAGTGTATTTATTTATGAGTTGGTGGTGGGACAAATACTTTCATCTACATAGATGTTATAACATTGCCATTAAATTAAAAGGCATATGAGTTGTTTAAAGCACAAACTCTTAATAAAATAAGTGAATGTTTTTTTCTGACTTAATTTTTATACAATGCATATATGTACTGAACTACCACATAGGGCCCCTAATAATGTATACTTTTATGTTAATCAAAAATGATGTCCTGTAAATATTTAGTATTTATTGCCTAAATTTATAAGTAGAATGCCAGTTAATATTGTTATACCTGCTTATATGCATGTTTATATACAAATTGCACAAGTAAATACAATGTAAAAATCATAAAACATGTTAAAACCCTTTACAAGTAGCAATTTACTCCACTAATGAAACAAGAACCTAAGAAATTGGTAATTACTAATTAAGTTAGAAAGGCAGATAACAAAAGAACAAGATAAAAACTCTGCTGGGTGAGTGGAGTTAAATGGTTACATAAATATATACAACAGATTATATAAGAGAAGCCAAAAAGAAATACACCTAGCATAATAGATTAGAACTGCCAAAATGGAACACAATTGTTAAGACTTAAAGTACTTTGAATGTAGATATTTGCTGGGTGTGGTGGCACACAGCACTTGGGAGGTTGAGTTCTACAGTGGGAGTCTCAGAACAGCCAGGGCTACACAGAGAAACCCTCTCTTGAAAAACAAAAGAAAACAAAGAAGAGAAAAAGTAAAAAAGAAAAACCGAGAAAGACAAAAAGGAAAGAAAAGAAAGTCAGCAGTGTTTGGTGTAAAGTAAGAGCAGAGAGGAAGAGGCCCCCTGAGCAAATGAGTGCAGAAGGCGTGCTCTAGAACCTAGTCCTGGGAAAAGTAAGTATCCTCAGCTGTGGCTTGCCTCTTCTAGCTGCATATGGCTAATTCGTGATTAATCTGCTAGGCTACTTAAGGGTTTGTAATTCACTAAGTTTCTCAAGATAATTAAAGCATTAAACTTTCAAGTCCTGTATTTATAAGCTTAACCATCAATTGAACAATAAATACCATAGTACCCATGAGATCATTCATGATTTCTATCCGCATAAATATGGTTATATTGAACTCTATTAGAATTTCACAGTGGAAACCAATTACTATGTGACTTAATGTAACAACCAAGGATACAAATATATTTTAATGATGAAGGAAAGTACAAGACGTATAAGGAGTCAGCATTCTACAACGTGTTTTAAACATTCTTAAAAGTAAAATGCAGAGAGACAGGGGAATCTCTGTGAGCTCATTTGAAGTCAGCCTGATCTACAGAGCAAGTACCAGGACAGGCTCCGAAATAACAGAGAAAACCTGTCTTGAAACCCTCCTTACAGTGAAATCCTGTGACAATTCATAGCATGACTACTTTTGAATTTAGGTACTGCTATCCAGTTGCATACTACGATGTGCAACGTTTATATTCTTACTAGACACAAACTCCAAAGAGAAAACTTTCCTTTCAGGGAGACAAAGAACCAAATGGCTTATTATTTATGATAGTCTTCTGAATTTGATCTCTATTGGTAACAATAAATATGTTCAACACTTTAACATATGTTTTAGTGATCTAATGGACTGTTAACCAGGTGAACGCCCCTTTCACAAACGACTGCTCCATTCTTCCTTTAAAAATATAATTTATGTGAACGTGATTACTTATTATTTATTCCAGTATTCCCTGGAATAGAAATTCTTATTGTATTGCCTGAAATTATATTTTTTTTTAAAAAAAAAGGTAGCAGAGGTGCTTCCGAGTTGTAAAACTCTATGGAAATTCAAGCATCTTCCCAAAGATACAGGAAGCAAGTAAAGCAAGGGGTGGGCGTTGGGGGAGGCACGACATTTGGAAAGAGCAAATTAAAGACTTTGAGTCCACAATAAAACTGGTAAAATCTTTAAAACTTTCAAACTTTAAAAGAAAAAACAGTTAAAGTTTGCATCAATTTGTATAAAAGAGAAATGTTCTAGGAATAATATTTAATGCATATACATACTATAAATACATCAACTAACATGTCTGCTCTATGTAGCCCGATCTGTGTGAAATTGGCTAACTAAAGAAAACTAAGGTACACCTATATTCAGTTCACGACAAAATAGTAAATTAACTATTTTGGCTCTGATGGCATCCTGTCTTAGCTTTGAAGAAGGGTAAAGGAAAAGTGAGATGAGAAGAAAAAATAAGCTAGCAGGAGGGTAAATGTCCGTTTTAAAATCAAGCAAAACATTCTAATTGAGAGTGAAGACAGAATCCAGATAATCCATTCGATCTCTTAAATTTCCCTTAGTGTGCTTAGGACAGCGTAAAAGTACTGAGCTCTTTTAACCACCCTGGAAATCCTGACAGCAGGGTTACAGGATCCTAGAATAAACATTCAATTCTACTCTGTTCACAGAGAACAAAACACTGCTATATACACAAAGGACAGTAAATTCCACTTCACTGTATGCAGTTGAGAGGGTATAAATACACTAATGACTGAGTTCTTCAGTAACCTGCACTCTAACTTCCAAAATAATGAACCTAGAGCATCCTTTGACAGATCTAATGGGTAGATAGTAAGAATTTATGTATAGCTCGTGATCATGTTAGATGTGCTTCGGGGGAAGAAAGCTGAATGTCTATAGCACTTGACATTGCCACTTCTGTGCCCAAACTGGTTCACTGTCAGGAATTATGCATGTCCCAACAGCTTCCTGTCCCTCAGACTTAAACAGAGAGCAGTCAGGAAGCGACACACACAGACACACACGCACAGTACATTTTACAATCTGACTATTTAAAAAGTAAGATTTGAATTAATCCATCTATGATAGGAGCAGACTTGTACTTTATAGACTCTAAACATTCTAATGATACAATGTTGTCAGCTTAGGGCATGGATAGTTTGATCAACAAAGTTGAGAACTGTTTTCAAGTTCATGTCATTCCTGTCTCATGTGGGGAACTGTCAATCAATTCCCATTACATTGTTTCTGTGTTATGTAACCACGGACTAGATCTGCTGCATCCCCAATACACAGTTCCTTGCTTGAACCTGTAAGTAAGTCAAACTGGAAGCACTATATGTAAACGAACAACAATGTTCACTAGCTTTTTTTTTTTTTTTATTAACTACTGGATATTTTAGCACGATTTACACTTTCACAGAGTCATATGTGGAACAGAGTTTCTAGTTCAATCACACAAAACATGAGTCATTGTCAGAAGGAAGGCATCTGAGTTACGTTGACAACAGCAGCACATCGCCCAGAGTCGTTTCCGAGTCCTGGCTGTGGTTGGAGCTGATGCCAGTATCCGAATCTGTGTCATTTGTGTATGTGTTCAACACCCTTGGAGTTAATGGAGGGACCTCCTCGCCGCTGCTGGGAGCCCCGGATTCCTTTCCTCTATTTTCTTTTAGCTGGCATCCATCTTTGTTGCCAAGGTGAAGCGAACTGAACTCCTTGGCTAGAAGTTCATATTCCCTTGCTTTCATCTGGAGCAGTGAGTCACTGTATTTAATCTCTCTCTGGATGCCGCTCAAGTGAGAGTGGATTTTCAGACCAGCTTGCATGCTCTTCTCCAAATCGCACTTCATGTTCTCTAAATCAGAGTTTTCGAGTTCCCAGGCCGCTGCCCCCTCTGCATCTTCACTTCCTTCGACGCCCGAGTTTTTCACCTCTCTCTCAATTTCCGCGGAGAGCTTTTCGATGAGCACCCTGTAGTACTGCAAACGTTCTTCCAGCTGAGCCATCCCCTCGCTGTTGTTCAGGTCCATCGGAGCCTGGCTGTCCTCAGGTGGAAAATCCAGCTGAGGCTCATTTTCACTGAACCTGGGCATTAAATACGCCTCCTGAACGTAATTGTCCCCGTCATGCCCTACCCGGTCCAGGTGGATCTTAGCTTCACATTTTTCAATTTCCATATCTAACTCTTTCATTCTTTGTACTTGCTGGTGAATGGTATGATCCTGAGAAATAATTAGATGAACTAACGTCTCCATGCTGTCTCGATCCTGGGAAACCGTGTCCTGCTTAATTTTCGCCAGTTTCCGAAAGGTTTTCCGGACGATTCGTTTTTGTTTATCAGGTGGTAAAGTTTTCATGTAATTGGCCGGGCTGAGCTCCCATGGCTTCTCACTGTTTGGCACAAGTTTAGTTTCCGCTGTCCTCCACAGGGGAACGGGGAGAAAGGCGTCCGCTTTAACCAAAACAAACTGCATATTGGCTTGCTCATCTCCCCAAGCCTTCCACAACTTCAGGATCCTGGTCAGGGGAGGAAGCGCCCGCTCTGAGCCCCGCCACTTCTCCACGATGCAGTAGTCGCTGGCTTTGCCCAGCAGAATCCGCTTCTCTCCAAAGGTAGCTTCATGCTCCTCCAGCAAAGCCTGGACGACCTCGGTGGAGGTGGTGCGTTTAGTTAATCCACAGACAATCTTTTCCTCCTGGCAAACCCAAACCACAATTTCCTTCTCTTCGGAATCCATGTCTTTAGTTGGAGATCTAAAAGGAAAACAAAGAGCATTATATTTCTGTCATCACCTGTGTAAACTCAGAACGATGGTTTAGCGTTAATGCCTTTTCTTGCCTCTCCTTCTAACGAGGGACATAATTGGACATCGTGACTGCAGAACAGGAAGCAGTGCTCTAAGATAGGAATGCGAAGCTTTTGGATTTTTATTCAATTGCCTTTTTAGCTGGTTATGGGAAGCGCACATAGTCACTGATAAACAAATGAAATGTTTTCTTTTTTATTTAATCTTTTAAAATTAGTCTTGGCATGTTCGCAAAACAGATACAGTGATAGTAATGGCTGAGAGCTTGACAAAGGAAGATATTGTATGAGGCATTTCCCCTTATACAGGAGTCTTAAGGTTAGAGTATATAAGCAGGGACGGTCGGATTAGGTAGTTCGTATTTCGTAGAGCCAAAAATCGCTAGCTCTGTGAGTTTATATTCAATGCAGTCATTCCTTCATTGAGCAAGTGCTTATTGTCAAGTTGGGAGCATAGGTTCCTGCCCCTCCCATCTATCCCAGCCCTGAGGCCTGGTCTGGACTCCAAATCCCAGCAGGCCAGGTCCTGACCCTCCCTGGGGGTGGGGTCAGGACCACTCCCCAGGGTTTTTAAGTGACCCACCAAAAGAGGAACACGTGGTCCTCCTTTCTTCCTCCCTGGGGTCGAATTTCCATAAACGCGACTTCCCATTCCCCGTGGGGCTACCCGAGAGTGCAGAACTTCCATTAAACCTGGATATTTCTTAATTTGGCTTGTTTTGATTTGGCTTGATTGGGAATTTTTGCGTCGGCAGGGAGCTCATGTTAGGAAATATTCCTAACACTTATGCCAACTCTATACAAGCATGGTTGACATCACTGCCGAAATGGTAATAGGAGTAATAGCGATAAACAAAGGCGATGTTTAGGCAGGAATCTGTTACAAAAGTGGTATCAACTATCAGGTTTTGCATTGCCCTGTCAAAGTACCTGGCATAGCCCATTCAAAGAAGGAAGGATTCACTGAGTTTCAGAGGCTTTATTCTAATGTTTGGTTCCATATACTTGGGAAGAACTCCATGGTAGTGATGGGACATGTGGAGTAGGGAACGTGGTAGACAGGGAATAGAAAAACAGCTTATAATGTGATGCATACACCAAACAGATTTCTAACAGGAAAGAATCATGGCCCAGAAGACCTGCCCTAAATGACCAGCATCCTTCACCCAGGCTCACCTCCCACCGGCCTATCCAAGTCTGTTGGGGAAAGGATGAAAAAATAATGGTTTAAGGAACTATTTTTTAAACATAGAAGTATTAGAAAGTGATTGGAGTTGGAATATGCATGCTCATAGATTTGGTAGCATATCCTCTATTTACTATTGAGGGAGCTGGTGCATCCGTTTGGTTTTGATTACTATCTAACAAAATAACTTGAAACAGACTGCTTTCTAAAGGGGAACAAAGGTTTATTGTGGCTTACAGTTCTAAATGCGCACAGCCTAGGGACTTCATCTTATAAGGACTTCTTGCTGATAAAAATCCCAAAGTATCATAGAGCATCCCGTGGCAAGATATAGAGAGGGTGCATGGCCATATGCAGCCACTCCCTTGCACATGCAAGGATATGCAGCCTTAATCAGTTCCCTAAGATTATATTTCTGAACACCATAGTTACATAAATTATCCAGTCCATTGTTACTGTAAATATAGGGCAGAAATAAACCGTTGCATGACTTCAAATGTAAATTAAAATAGAAAGAAGTATTTATCAAGAGGTAGATAAAAAGTTTTCTTGAGTTAAAAAGTAAGGGGACTGCTAATAGTCACTTTGGAAAACTGTTAAAACCACATTTCCATTGTGCGTGTCAGTCACATGGACTGTGTGTTTCGCAATTCTTTTCAAAAGAACACTAGCAAATCGGTGATACAATTTATACTCCGATGTGATTTATGATGCCATGAGAGATTTGTTGTGCGAGTTAAGGCAAATTATTCATCACATTATGTAATGGTCCTGAAGCATATACTCAATGAAAAAGTTACCAAAGACATTGTCAGTCTTTCATTCAGCACTTAAAATGTACCATGTTTATGTTTTTGAAGCAAAACTCACTAAAGATCTTCTATGGGTTTTCTTTCATGAGGAATTCACATCTCACCTTAGCTATTTACTTCTGAGGTGGAGAGGAAGAAAATCAGTAACACTAGAGCCATACAAGATCAAACTCATTCCTTAGCAGAGGACTTAGGAAAATGAAATATTCAACTTTAGAAAGTAGAATTTATATCTTCACCTGAAATCTATAATGGATTTTGACAAATCTCTTGCAAAATCTTTTCACTCAGTAATTCATGCTGAATGATATATTTTTTAAAAGAAGTGTGGTATTCTGATGATGTTTATAGTTCATTGGCTAATTATGTGCCACGCAAACTGATAAAATTCAGAACAACAACAAAAATTATATTCTTACTCATGGAGAAAAAGTCCACAACAGTATTCAAAATGAAAATAAATATTTTCTCAAAGGAAGTAGTTGAACAATTACTGTCTGTGCTATGGCAATATAGTATAAAGTAGCTGTAAATAACCTTTTATTTTTTCATCTTAGCCATGTACATACAATACTAAAAATTACTGCAAATGTTTTAATGCTTTGCAGTTAAGTGTGGTTTATGTCAGCTTTGATAATTTTAAAAGCAGTCACTCATTCTGCATTTCTGTTAATTACAAATTATTTATGTGATTTTCCATAAAAATATATAAAATAAAAATATTAGTTTTTGTTTTATTATCAACATTAGTTGATAGTGCAAGTAACCACAATATTTAAACAAATAAAAAAATTTAAGTTATTTTTTTAAATGTTTGGGGTTTGCAAAAGCCTATTCAATATATATATATATATAATTGGCTGGCTGCCCATCTGAGTTTAATGATCAAGTCCCAGAATGCACACGGGATAAGTGCAGAACTGACTCCTACAAATTGTTTCTTTCACCTCCACACACCTACAGTGCCATGTACCCCCACCACACACAGACACACCACACACATACGCACACAGGCACACTCACACAAACCTATATCCCGGCACACACATTAAAACAAATAAAACAACAAATTTAAAAAGTACAACAATGAAAATTATAGCAATGAAATCTAAAGAACTTGAAATATCCCAGGCCTCCTTCTCATATCAGCTGTGTATGAAATTGTTTAATGGTCACAGTTCTATAAGGGCAACAGATATTAAGCTCAATTCACCAATAAAAATAAAAAAGTGTGGGGACATTCTAAGATTTTAAGTTGGATCTTTTAGACATATGGGTTAAATAAATTTTTAAAAGTGCTATTTTATTGAATTTTGTCATGAAAACTTTATCTTCTGAGAGCAATAACCTCACAGTGTCCGCTGCAGAGTCCTCAGTTTGTCCTGAAGGGGTTCTCTCTCTTGCAGTCACAGGGAAAGTGTGGGAAGACGTTAATGTTTACAACACTTTCTAAAGATTAGTTATGTCTCTAAGTTGATAAAGTGTGACGACTTTTAGCTGCTTTGGGCATCTCCATTAGCTGACAAATCATGTATATTCAACACACACACACACACACATACACACACACACACACACACACATACACACACACACACACACACCATAGCTGTTCCTCTTCTCTTTTTAGTTCTCGTCTCCAGCAGCGGTTGTCATCTGACCTATGGGTTCTTCAGCCCTATATTAGAGGTATGAATAACACTGGAAAGCAGCAAGCAGAGCATGCATTCCTTTTATGAAGCTCATTTTCTGAAATGTCACAATGATATGCATGGCCATTCCCCAAGATTCCCTCAACTCCTACACCAATTGGAATGTTTCCTACTTTGAAAGGATCGTATTCTTACACACTGAGTTTTCGCTGCCCCAAAAGGCTGCTACCTTTTAGCTGTTGCCATCAAGCTGCAAAAATGGTCATTACAGGCAATAAGAAAGAAACATTTATTTATTTGTATTACATATGAAATTGGGGACTTTATTATAATCCCATAATCTCACTGGTTTTAGAGACCTTATTATAATCTCATAATCCCACTGATTCTGAACTTTTTTAAATATCTTCTTTCAAACATCCAACCAACATTTGTGCATTTTCTAGAGTAAACCATTGTTGGGCCCGGGTCTACCCTTGCTCCTGGGGTGCATCTTGAGGACAATTTCTGGTTAGCCAGCTTCTGTTTCTTCCTGTGCTCCCTCTGCCCTAGCCTGGTGATTAGCTATAGGGCGTTGTTTCATCTTTGGTATGGTAATTTCCCACCTGCCTGGGAGGAAATCCTTATGCAGCAGTCAGGTATAATAGATTTTCCCCTAAATTGAATAAAGGGCATTCGGCTGATCTTCTTTAGAATGACCCAGGTCTCTTGTGTGTTCTTTCAATCTCCAGGCCCTTGCCTGGACTCATGTATGGCAGAGTGGCACACGAACTGTACCGAGGGGGTAACAAAGAATCGGGTGTTACAAACTATTACTAATATTTGGGGGGATTTTTAAAGTTGTTATTGAAACAAAATAATTTTTAGAACTTCTGCAACTTGACCTAACACATTTAAAAGTAATGACCACTCATTACCGAATGCAGGTAACAAATCTGTCACAACTTGCCTGTGTTTTGACATGTCTAAAGGTTATTTTATTGCTGGCTTAGGCTTTTGAAAATGAGTTATTTTCTGATACTGTTCTGACTGAGTTTCTATACACCCACTTGACAAATATTTCCTAATCACCTTTTCTATGGAGCCGAACATGATACAAAGACAGGAATGACTTACAAGACTTATCTCTGGCACACTGTGGTAAACAGGTGTTGGGTTGGCATGTGCACACTCTCAGTGACAAATCTACTAAGTCCTTTAATATAGCAAGGATATTCAAATGCTTCACTGCTGAGGAATAATGATCAGCCTTTGTGTTTCCCCAAATAAAAAAGTATCAAAATTAAAACAAAGTCAAA